CATTGTTAAATTTTTCTTGTACCAAACAGTAATTTTACAAAAGAAAGAAGAATATATATAGACATATATGGATATATTTTTAATTATATGTTTGTATACGTTTTTATACGAATATTATTTTACTAAGATAATAGAATTTTTATTTTACAATAAATTTACAATAAATAATTCTAATTGTTTTAACATTTTAATATAAAAAGTTAATTGTTATGATGAAAGATTTAATTTTTGTAGATTTATTTTGTTTTTTTGTAGTTGCGTATCCTCGTATTTTATGGATTACGATAGATTTTACGAAATGTTTCTATCGCAAGACATTCAACGTTTTGCGGGGCACATTTCATAAAAATCTTCGACCTCTCGAAGAAGCGGGGAAGCATTTCATCGTTGTACGATCACGATTGGTTTGTTCGATGGAATGCACGATAAAGCATTGACGATTACCAGAAGCAAATCGCGGGTTACGAGTACTCAAAGATCTTCGGGGAATAGGTTTAAAATTCTTTTATGAGTTTTAGATGCGAGGCATTGATCCGCGTTTTCTTGTGAATACTTCATTTTGTGCAAATCGAAATGTGGCTCAATTGTATTTTTATTTATTTAACAATAAAATTTAAGGATATCACTAAAATATTATTTTTATCTATTAATAGAATTTACAGATAGATAAAATTAATTCTGATTAAATTTTGATAAATTAAAATATTGTTTAATTTGTAACATAATATTAAAATTATATAAAGTGAATAAAATAATGATAATTATTTTATTTATGGAAATACTTTTTCTTGCTGTTAATCTGATGACAATTGTCATGCCGTTATAAATGTGTTACGAAAAGAAGTGGTATGAGAATTCTTTCTAGCTGTTTACCTAGATTACCGTACATAACGGTGCTACAATGTCCAAGACTTATTTTGTTACTGGTTTATATTCTCATGTACTGATTTATGTTTATTGATATACTTGCTAACAAATTTGAGAGACTTTTTAAAAAGCAATTGCTTTATTTACATTAAATATTTTATAAGTACTTTTCTTAAAAGTTTGTAAGAGCTCCAAATATGAGATGCATATGTATCTTAAATGCATCACTGAGAGTTAACACTGATTGTACACTATATGCATGCAATAGTAATGGCATACGTAACCTATTATTACTTTTATAACACCTGTCGTGAGTCAACTCGATTCGAACAAAACTTCCGGAAGCAATTAAACTATTCGTGTATTTGGGGCTGTACTCGTTTGTGCCGATGAATCGATTAATGCCATCTGTTTTGACGTATAAAATACATGTTGTATTATAAAATACGTATTATTTTTCAATTTGTCAATATCAATTTTTAGATATTTTGAAATTTTATTGAAAGACGTTTTTGTTCAATCAAATTTGTATTCAATCAAATTTTCTTTTTAATTTATATAACTGATTTAAATTCGAGACTAGATTATTCGAGATAGATTATTTAAGCTGATCTTTGCCAATGTAATTAGATATAATGATAGAAATTGTGTCATGATAATTAATACGAAACTTTTTTTGTTCTGCTTCTATTTCCGGACAATCCTATGCCTTCGTGTTCGTGTTTTCTGCACCTACGCCAACTCATTGTCAGTCGAGGTTCAAGGTTTCTCTCGGTCATAAAGAGGCGTAGCTTTCATTCTCACCGCCAACAATAATCGCAAGAAAGCAGCATCTCTCAATACGCCTGCTATTTATCGACACTCCTGCCTCTTCATGCGAAACGAAGAGTTACCTTACTCATGTTCGTACGCACATCACTGCGTTAATTAGTTCTTATCCGGTTATGAGTTTCCCGTTCTTTGAGACAACGTAAAAGGATGGAAAGCAGCTCGTAATTTCTTTCAAACGCAAACATTTAATGTTTGTACATTGCGTTTTACAAATGTTCTCATGTATAATGGACAATGTAGCTTTCTCCTTTACTATTTGTCATTTTAATGTCACTGGTTGTGTTTCGATTTTACGAGATTTCCGTATTTGATCTTGTTTCTTCATTATCGTTATAAAGATATAACGTTATTACATGTTATTATAATCTAAACCTCACATCTATACATAATTGAAACTTATGTTGTTTTAGATTTCCATATAAAAAAACTTTTAAACAAAATATTATATTTGTTACCTATATAAGTCATTTGTCCACTATTTGAAATCTTTAAGGATTTTCTTCGACTGGGTGAATTAGACTGTCTGTCTGTTCCGTCGAAAAAGGAAGGATCGAAATCTACGTGGTAATATAATTATTGAAGTCGTG